CTAAATGAGTTGTGGTACCTGAATGAAATGTATTATAACTGATGTGTGAGAAACAATAAAGACAAGGCTACAGAGAAGCATGGAAAGACTTAAATGAACTGGTGCAAAGTGAAACAAACAGACCCAGGAAAACAGTATACACACTGACTACAACAATGTAAATGGAAAGGACAGCCATAACAAAAACAAAACAGTGCTGTGAATTTGTAATGGTCATGTTTGGTCCCCCAAAACAGATAGGAAAATGCATTTCCCCTCCTGGTGGAGAACAAGGACTAGGAGTGTGAAGCGTTGTACGTACTGACAAACTAGTTAATGCCTTGGTTAATTTTGCTGAATTTCCCCTCCCCCTTTTTTTTTTTTATTCTTTGTTACAAGGGATGGCTCTCTGAGGATATATTTGGATATATATCTGAATGCTATATTTGGAAATTAATATGATGTTAAAACAAAAAAAAGAACAATTTTTTAAATTCCATAGCTTGTTAACTACCTCCATCCCCCAGGCCAGTCAGTTGCAGCAACTTACCAGGTGTCCAAGCAATTATACTTAGCTAGAAATGGTTTCCCTACTCAAACAGAGGCTTGAATGTTCAGCCTGTGTTATGGAAATGGTAGCTCCTGGACAGGACCCAAAGCCATCTATTCTCCGTAGAGTGCTGTGTATCTATTCAAGCTGTATTTTGAAGACTCTATTATGAAGATAAGCAATCCCAAGTGGAGATCAATTATGAAGATACATACTTGATGCCCTGTCCAGCCCAAAAGGGCTGGGACTAGGTTTTTAACCAAAAAACACATACTCACATATGTTCTTGCTTTCAAGTTCCAAAGCTGTGGTCCTACAATGCTATAAATAATAGTTACAAAGCTTGGAATGTTAAATCAGGATTCTCAATGTATACTGAAGTACAGCCCTCTGTGTCATAAGCTATTTGCAAGCTTATCCAGTTTTGCACACTAAAGCAGAGGTGTCAATCATGAAACCCAAAACACTCCAGAGTATAGCCAAACCAGATAGTTGAAAAGTATGCAACAAAATAAATATGGAATAAAACATAAAGAATGTTAATGTTATTTTCTAGCTCAATACATGCCCACAGGGATCCTTATGGATGGTTTGGTGGCCCCCATTTCTATTTGATTTTGACACCACTGAACTAAAGAATGCACACATGGGGAGAACAGATTAGATATGGTCTGTCAAAGATTACACATATAATGACCATAATTGGTCATTAGGTGGCACTTTAAAGTTCTCAGAGTGCTTGATTTGTAATCCCAGTTGATCCTCCCAACATTGTAAGGCATGTACTCCAGGTATCATTGGCCTCATTTTACAGATGAGGAAACTAGGGCACATAGAGGCTGACTTATTTGCCACATAGCTAATGTCAAAAGTGGGATGTGAACCCAGATCTGCCTGACTTTAAGGCTAACCATCTATCCACTAGACCATGCTGCCTCTCCCGTAGGAATATACACTGTAGAAATAGACATACTCTGGCATCGTGATAGGCATGGTGTTTTTCCTTGCTCCTGCTCCTCCTCCTCCTCCTCCTCCTCCTCCTCCTTCTCTTCTTCTTTTTCCTCTTCTTTGCTTTTTTCACTTCTTTATTAAATTCTCCTATTTTCCCTTCTTTCTCATTTAAGTCTAAGGACTGATGAGCTTGCCCACCATATTTATTGCTTAGCCCTTCCTATTGACATACTTCAGTAAAAAGGTTACTAACACTCTACACTAGAACATTAATTTTTCAGCATCACCAAATCAGTGGGGAATAAATTACACAACTTCAGAGCTGGAAGGGACTTCAGAGGTCATCTCATCCATCCTGTACCTAAACAAGAATCCCTCCCACACTCTACTAGACAAATGGTCATCCAGCCTCTGCTTACAGAGAAAACCAACTTTTCTGACCAAAGGCAATCCATCCCTCCTTGGAGCACTCTAATTGTTGGAAGTTTTTTCCAGATATCAAACTTACATTTACCTCTTTGTAATTTCCATCCCTTCCTCCTACATTCTGCCCTCTGGGGTTAAACAGGAAAACTCTAATCTCTCTTCCATGTGATAACTCTATGACTATTAAACACAGATATCTATTCCTCTGCCCACCTCCGCCCCACCCCGAGCCTTTTCTTCTCAGAAATCCCCAGTTCTTTAAATGATCTTCACATAGTATGGCATGGACTCAAGACCATTATGATTGCCCCCACTGGAAAACCACTACCCTCTCATTTATCAATGTTCAATATAAAATGTAGTGCCCAAAACTGAAAAAAAATATAGCCCTCCTTTCAAAGAAGGAAACTGAGGACATGAGAGGGAAAGCAACTTTCCCAAGGATATGCGGCAAGGAAGTAGTAAAACCAGAACTGGAACCCAATCAGGATCAGAGATCAATTGCTAGGAGGGAGGGAGTGAGAAGTTGAGAAGGCTACCTCATTCAGCCCCCTCATTTTACACATAAGGAACAGAGGCCCATAAAGGTTAAGTGGCTTGCCCAAGGTCACAAAGGCAGGAACCAGCAAAGGCGGGATTTGAACCTAGATTCTCTCATTCTAGAGATGGCATTCTTGTTTTGTTTTGTTTTTGCCGTACCAGATCTTTTCATTCCAATGCCAGGAATCTTCCCATAATACCATACTGCTATCCTCTCCTTAAATGCTTCAGCCAACACCACCTCTTATACTACAGGGCAGAGAAGCCACAATTCACAACATATGTTGTGGAGTGCCCGTGTCTCTTCTGGAATCTCTGAGTATAGTGCTGGCACTGCCACGGATGTAAATGAGTCATTTAGAAGGCCCCAAGTTCTGTGCTCCTCTTTATTCCCTTGTCCTTCTACAGAACAAGAGCAGTGCAGACGGTCATACAGCAAGCTGTCTCGCCCCTATCTGTCCAAGTGGTGGCCAGGACCATGAAGCAGGCTCATTGGGATTTTGGTACTACTCTTATGCCTGTCTTGTACTATTAGCAATTTTCACTGTTTTCCTGTTGCAGTCTCCCTAACTAGACTGTAAGCAGCTTGAAGGTGAGGACCAGGTCTTTTCCTTCGCTGATCATCTCTTCCAGAGTACCCAGCACAATGCTAAGCACATTTGGAAGAATGCACAAGGCATTCTGTTTCCAGAGAGGGCATTTTCAGGGACTGTCCCCCATACCTGAAAAACTCTCCCTCCTCCTCTCTGCCCCCTGGCTTCCCCAGCTTCAAGTCTCAGATAAAAATACCATCTTCTACTGGTATCCTTTCCTGATTTCTCATTTCTAGTGCCTCTATTGATTACATCAAACTTACCATGGATATAGTTCATTTGCACATACAGCTGTTTGTGTGTTATCTCCATTAGACTATGAGCTCCTTGACAGCAGAATTATCTTTTGTCTTTCTCTGTATCCTCACTTAGCACAGTGCCTGACATAATAGGCATTTAATAAACACTTACTGACTGAATACACTTGGGGGAAGGAAGACAGGAGTGCCAAAGATAAAATCCTACCAAGATTTCAGTCCCAAAGCTGTATGTATAAATATTTGGCTTTCCCTCAGGCATCAGCCTTGAGAAAGGGTCTCAGAGCAAAAACAAAAGACTCCTTAAGGAAACAACATGCTTGCTTTTCCTTTTCTTCCAAAGTCACTTGTATCCTGGGACAGAGAAATCCCAAATATCAGCATAAGAACTGCTAATATGAATAGTAAGGATATGACGATTCTCAAAACCAGCCACACTGTTTCTGAAGAAGCAGAGTAAACATAGTCACATCATCTATTTCATGGTTGGCAAATTGAGGGAAACCAAAGAAGCTATATTACCCTCGGGGTTATGAGGTTCATCTCCTTATTTTCCCTTGTGTATGAGGCTTTTCATGGTTTCCTGTGGTTTCCCAAAGTGGCAAGTCAATTTCAGTGGGTTGACATGCTCTTCAGGTGGCGGAGGTCTCTGGGGGAGATACTTAACTTGTCTAGGTGGGTCTGTGAGGTCCCAAGAGAAGCATTCTGAGTTAGAGAGATCACTATAAGAATATGCCTATGAGAATAACTAACACAAAGACAGTGGATACCGAGGAACTTCTTCTGAGGACATTGTCTTCTCTCTCCCCTCTATGAAAAGGCATGCTACAGAGATCTGGGAAGAGGATGGGAAAAAAATATACCAGTCCAGAGAAATTGCACAGGCACAGGACTGGACAGGATTGCATTAGTAGGACAGCAGAGAGGGAACAATAATAACTGACCAATATTCATCAGGAGGTGACCTATTTCTCGTAACTTTTATAAGCATTTTTAAATGAACTTTTTTTCCACCTTAGTTTTTCCTCCTATGTCCTACATGGATTCTCTGATCTAGGGGCAGCTAACTAGGTGACCTAGTGGATAGAACACTAGCCCTGGAGTCAGGAGGACCTGAGTTCAAATTCAGCCCCAGACACTTACTAGCTGTGTGTCTGTGGGCAAGTCACTTACTCCTGATTGCCTCCAAAAAAAAAATCAACATTAGTAAGCTTCAGAGAAGTATTTTGGACTGATTAAAGTGTTGCTAGCCACAGAAGAAGTCATCACCACCAAATAAATACTGGCTAGCAAGTACACTGTTAAGTGAGGGAAGGCAAGATATTTTCTACAGTAAAGGAAAACCCAATTGAATGAAAGGTTGGACATTAGCTCCAATTGGTACAGTTACTATTTGATCTGAATGACGAGCATGAATATCAAGACTGTAATGGCATGATAGATTGAATGGCAATAGCACTTTTCCCTGCTGCTGATGTGATGTATATTTCTCTCTCTCTCTCTCTCTCTCTCTCTCTCTCTCTCTCTCTCTCTCTCTCTCTCTCTCTCTCACCTATACACTGTTATGTAAAACCTTCATTATATATGGTAATGAGCTAGCATATGGTAATGTTCTTTCCCCTACTATTTTTTACATATTCCCATAGAAGAAAAGGGCAGGTGGTAAGTACATAAAAAGAAAAAGAAAAGAGAAAAGCCAACGCAAAAAGGACTTTTATTTCAACATAAAGTCAAAGAACAAGAAAAAGTTTATGACTTTGTTTCACAGGTTTTCTCTCTGAATCCAATGTCAATTCAAGCTATCACTAATTCTTTGGAGTCATCTTTTAACACTTAGTGAAGTTCAATGAAGAAATTACTAACTATACTTAAACACACAACACACACACATATACATGTCTGACAGGTCATAACATACTAAAAAATTGGGGTACAGAAATGAAGCTTTTGTCATCTGAGAAGAGGAATAACTGAGCAAACCTCAAATTGTTTCTAATAGCTCACGGCTGAAAATTCAGAAGAAAAAGTAATTATTTGAAAGCACAATACCACATAAAATTATTTTAGGCCCCCAAACGGTGCTCCATTATAAAGCATATATAGTCATATCACCTCTAACCTTTCCTTACTCAATATTATCTCTATAATAACTACTATATCTACTAGTTAGAAAATGTGATATGAAAGCTGTAGATATCCTAAATGCCTAGGGAGTACCATTTCAACATCTGAAATTGTGGACAATAAAGAAAATTGAGCAGACCATTCTTCCAGAAATGATATCCTTCTCCCTTAAATGCCCAGGTGGAAATTTAGGGGAAGATTTCTTCTCCCACTGCTCATGATACTGAAAATTAATGCCCGCGGCTCAGTGGATTGAGACTAAGCTTACAAAGGCCTGGCTTAATTAAATGTGGCTTGCGGCAAGCCAACCTACGTACAGGTTGTCTACCTTGTTGCCCAAAGACCTCTAAGTCTTCATGATGTTTTGCCTACACACTGGGTAACTGACTTAATTTTCCCACTTTTCATCTCAGTTTTTAGTGTATTATAGACATAGCCATAATGAGCATTATCACTTTTACTTCTTGAAAAGATAAAGGATTGATATTAAGATGGTGCCCTCTAATTCAAAAGTAGAGCAGGCCTTGGCTCTCTCTGTGTTTTAAATATCTACCTTGGTTGAAATTTCATTTTAGCATCACAAAGAAGTTAAATTGCCAACTCCCCAATCTATTTTCTTAAACCTATGAAGGATATACATTTAAAATTAAATGAGAAAAATTCCATCTTTCTTGAAGGCAAGATATTCTAGTGGAACATGCAAATTATATAACTATGTTTTTAGAACTGTGCGTCTACTATCTCTATTCAATTTCTAGATAGAATCTTTGTTTGTTTTGTTATTTAATTTTACTGAAGACTCTTTAGGAATGTTGGCATCTGGTTCATCTTTCGTTTTAAAGAAAAAGGATGAATTAAGCTTTGTCTGAATATATTTTACCTCATCTGGTTTTCTCAGCTGATTACAAGCACACTTCTCCCGGCTGTCATCACTAAGAACAGCAGTTGCTAACCCTGAACCTATTGTCTGATCTTCCATGGGACTTACAGTCTCAGAAACATTTTGGGAAATCATGTGAACTACATCACCAGCAGCTAAAATGGTACAGGAATCATTCTCAGAACTGCCAACCCATGACCTGCTTCTTCCAGGCAAAGTCAAGTCCAGGGGCTTTTCACACAAATCTACTTCTCTTCTAAAGAGTAAAGAGGTAGCTAATACTGAGGAACCAAAGAAATCCTCTGTCTGAACAGCTCTTTCTTTTGTACCTGAATATTTTCTGATTTCCTCAAAGCCTTTTAAATTATCCTGAGAAAGGTTGTTATTCTCTGGAACTGTTTCTCCATTCAAAACAGTTTCTCCACTTGAAGACAACTGTGGCAAATTATTTGGAGAATGAGTGGGTTTAGCACTCAGATCCCTACTTCCCTTCTTGGCCCGTTTAGGAGCAGGTGATGATGAAGAACTGCTGGGACTATCGGATACATGCCTTGATAATAAAGACCTCTGAGTTAAAAAAATATCTTGGCTATGATCAAAACTGCTGCACATTTCTTCAGTACTTGACTTCACCATTGGAGAATCCCGATTCTCTATCAGGCTTCCTGTATGGAATTCCTCCTCTGAATCAGAAGTGTTAATTTCCAGGGCAATAGGACTAGATGATAAAAGAGGCTGTAGACCATTTGTTTCAGGGGTTTTAACTCCTATTCCCTCCCTGAACAAGATTCTCTTATGTGGTTTCTGACGCTTCTTGAAACCAGTTAGGATGCCATCTTCAAAATAGCATAATGCAGAATTAATACCCTTCCATTCACACAAGGCTTTACCATCTTCATTGTCTCTAGAAATGTGGGCTACCTGTTCGTCATTGCTCTCATTTAAGGAGGGAGTTTGTGACAGGAGGGCATGGAAGTGCTGACAGAGTGGTTCAGCCTTGTTTTTATTCCTCTTTGGGAGTCTGGGGCTTTTACAAACTCTTTTGAAATTTCTGTCTGGCAGCTGGTCTTGCCTATTGCTTTTTTGAGGTATTTTTTCCCCCTTTGCTTTCTTTTCCATAATAGATAAAGACAGAGATGAAAGAGAAAAAACTTGGTTCGGAAAACCATCATCTTGGGTTGGTTTGATAAACTCCAGACCATTTTTTATATCATTGCCAAGATTTTTGCTTTTAGAATTTTTATTCTTCTTAAAAGCTGAAGCATTGGAAATGTTTGGAGCATTCTTCGACAGACTGTGGTTCTCTAAACCTATTGTGACTTCTCTGTCTTTACACAGTTGCATATTCTGACTGTTCATTGAAGCCTTCTGTTGCTTCTTGTGTTTTCTAGCTTTTTCTTTTATTTGGTAATAAACTTTACTGAAGTTTTCCTGGTGGTCATCAGAGTTTTCAAAGTGGCCAAGAAGTTTTGCTTCTTCATCTGATTCTAAAGGAATGCACTTGAAATAATATTAAAAAAAAAAAGAGGTTAAGTTTAATTCACTTATTGGATAAGTGTGCATTAAATGTCTAACATGTATGCATAATCTAGGTGCTAGATGCTATGGTCACTACCCTCAAGGAGCTCAATATCTTATTCAGAAGACCAGAGTCAATCAATCAGTAAACATTTATTAAGTACCTCTTCTGTGCCAGTCCCTCTGCTAAACTAGATAGGGTAGATAATGAAGCCATAAAAGAATGACTTCAAGATATAAACAATGGTACGGTACTCATGTACAAACCAAACGCCTATGTGAATATTAACACTGCTCTTCAAAAAGTAAATGTATAACATTACTGCTACACTATGAAAAGCATGATAAAGAGAATGATTTCTATGATGGCAGTAGAATATGTCCTTTGGCACATATGGCAACAATGTAAAATGGTTGCTCTTCTATAAGGAAGACACTCCTTCCCCATATAGATTAGTGAGCAGTTGAGTACTAGTGTATGCTAGGCAAAAGTCACAATTTCCTTTACTCTCCTCCATCCCCCTGCCACTCCCCAAACCAGGGCTTGCCTGAAAAGAGCTATCAAACACATTAGCACAAAAAAAAAAAAAATCACAATGGTGCAGAAATGAACAGATTCAAGGGAAAAGTAATAGAAGTCACACAGCAAAGAAAGGCTATCATGCATCTTCCTTCATTAAAGCAATATCCCAAAAGCAATAAGCAGTGGGTGTGGCTGGATGCTGGTAAGATGACCTAACTACTTGCATCAGTTCAGGAAGGCAGTCTTCTCTGGGGGGCAATCATGGGCATACTTTAATTTAAAAAAAAAACTCACTGAAAAACAGACCTATCTGTAGTCAGCCTCTTGGAGTTAGTTTAGAATATGCCTATTCAAGTCTAGGTACCAAGAGCAATGTCTCATCTCTTTTCCCAGTGGTTCTACTTTTTCCCTGTCTATTGGTGGGTACTGAAAGGGAAGTATGAAGCTCAATCCAGTTGGAGAGATTAGAAGGAGAAGTCGCTGCTGTTGCAAAATGACCCCAGAATAGGCTAGTTTCTCTCTTATCAAAGAGTGCAATTTGGAGGTAGAGTACTTAACTCTATTCCATCATCATCACTTTTAGGGAAGTAAATATCCTTATACATAGTCACCAGATAAAGAGACTGTTCTAAGTCCAATTTTTAAACATGCTGAAAAATTTTTTTCCAATATAGAAATTAATCATTAATCAGATTTTTCAGTCAATTGAATAGATATAAGTTCCAAAGGCAGATAAAACTTCATTTCTAAAAGAAGCAACGTCATTTAGCTAAGAATAATACAGCAAGCTACCAATAGTTAAAACTGATTGCTTTTATAGTCTTATTATATATGCCCAAATTAGTGCACTACCAACAATAATTACTGTTCTCTTCCTAATACATCAGCAGTTAGTTCAGCAAACTTGCTTTCTGAATAGCCCCTACCATATTAGAGGTAGGACCAACCCTTCATATTTGTGTAATGATTTATGGTTTTTGAGGTGCTCTCACATACAAAGCTGAAAAAGGCAGTAATTGTGAAAATATGTTAAATATCAAGCTGGATGCAATTGGAATGTAAAAATTCAGTCAAGTCTGACTGGCACATTCAGCAGTACTTGAAAAATGGCTCCTTTACATGTCACATTATGTAAGGTAAAGCAGGGTGAAGAAAAAACACCAGACGGTGAGATTGGTTAAAGACCCACTTGTTGAAATGTTTCAATTAAAAGTGAACAAAACTGATTAAATAACAACTGAAAGACAAGATAAGCACATCAGTCATTTGAAGTTAAACTTCTAGCACCTAAACATGTAATGTACACTAAGCTTGTGTGTAGTACATGCCCAAATGCCTAATAATAATGATACCAATAACAATAACTAGCATTTACATAGTACCTTAAGGTTTACTTAAAAATCCTTTATAAATATTATATCATTATCCTCATAACAACCCTGTAAGGTAATATATGTGTGTGTATATATATTTATAAAATATATATAAAATATTTACATTAATGTATTTTTATAAAATAAATCTTATCATCCCTGCTATTATCATCCCCATTTTACAAAAGCAAAAGTTAAATGACTCGCCCATAGCTAGTAAAGGTCTGAGGCTGAATTTTAGCTCTGGTCTTCTTGACTCCAGGTCCAGATCTATCCACTATATCATCTAGCTATGCTTATAAGTCATAGGAATTTAAATCTAGACAAGGTCATTGAGTCCAATGAAGTGATTTGCCCAGGGTCACACAGTTAGTAAATTGAGTAGGGATTAGAACCCATGTTCTCTGACTCCAAATTCAGTACCTTTCCATAAATTTGAGTCATGAAGGTAAACTACCTGAAACCTCATTTTAAATTTGCCACTTTGCTTTCTCAAGGCTATAAATGTGCATTTGTCATAGTCTCTGTTCTATTACTGATATTTTGTATATTCTGTCCCATGTTATCAGTGACTTACTTGGACAGGAGAACCTGAACTTCCTCAAGAATGGGGCCGTTTCCCCTACTCACATAAAATCATAAACAAATAACCCAGTTACAGGAGCACCAAATGATGGGAGCTGAGTGTAGATTTGATTCAAGTTAATTCAACAAACGTGACTAGAGAGTTTTTTTAAAAAACTTACAATAAATTTAATCTGACATATTTAATACCATGCACTGTTAAATGACAAATGGTATGAAATACAACAAAAATCACTGTGGTCAGTATCACTTAAATGCAGGCAAACCAAAGTTTTACAATTTTCCTATTCTATCTATGCTAATGCTAGTGTTGATAATTTCCTCTGATGTCAGTTAGCCATAGATGCTAAAGAGTTGCCTGAGGACTCAGAATGGTTAGATAACTCGCCTAGAGTCACACAGCTAGTTAATGGCAGAGACAGGGTTTACACTGAAGTCTTCCTGAATCTAAGCCCAGCACTCTAACACATACACACACACACACACACACACACACACACACACACACACACACACACACACACCCCTCCTCTATTTCAGTCCTCATCAAACAAGTTTCCTTGAACTCAGGTCCTGAGGTCTAAGGCTGACGCCAGCTGCACTCATCTCCTTTGCCTCCACTTGCATAAGAGCAATGCACCCAGCTGCTTCCTTGGCCCTGCTTGGCCCCAATCCTCGGTCCCCACAGGGCTAGAGGCAGCCAAAACTCAGGGCCAGCACGGCCTAGTCTAGTCATGGAACCAGAAAAATTTATCAAAATGCCTTCTTAAATAGCTACTGCTAGTAGTTCCAAATAACAAATTTTCAGATTAAGTGTATTCTAAATGCAACAATAAACCAGTGATGTCAAACTCAAATGAGACCAGTTCCCTATGGGTTCCATATGGACTTAGAAAACCACAAATTAATGTGACCTGTGCTGTGTTGTTTTTATTTATTTTGTTTAACATTTCCCAATTACATTTTAATCTCATTCTGGCCACACTACGGAGTTTTGGAGTTTTATAGGCAAAGGACACTGTGAATTGGACATTGTTGCTGTAAACAGGCTACTGGATCAAAGAACCTTCAGTCCGCAATTACCATGTGCTAAGGACCCTGTTAGGTACTGGGGATACAAAAACTGAAAATGAACAGTTTTTGCCTTCAAGAAACTCACCCTCTACAGGGAAAATAATATGTTCAAGCCCCTCATTTTAAATGTTGGTGAACCAAGGCTCAGAACAGGAAATCGATTTGCCCAGTTTTGCAAGGGTGATTAGTGGCTGAGCTAGAATTAGGACCCAGGTCTCGGACACCAGGTCCAGGTCTCTTTCCACTATACCAACTTTTCTCAAACTCTTCCCTGGAATCCTTGGATCTGTTTCTGTTAGGAAAAAATGTGTTATATAATTGAAGAAGACAGATACAAAACGGGAGCTAGCAGGATCAGGAAAAGCTTCACAAGAGCTGAGTTTTATAGGAAATAGCTATGCTCAGTTAGGAACAATATTGGATGGGATTATTCACCTTGGAAGATTCTTTACAAAAACTTTCATTTTTCTCTTTAATTGTGTTAAGCCAGCATTTTGGAGAGGTTTTTCTGTTCACTCCACTTCTGCTTTAAAATTTTGAAAACTTTGATTTAAAAAAAAATGCTGGTTTTATTTGTAAACTTTGTGATTGTGCTAAAAATCAATTTTTAAAAATTTTGCTAATACGCACTGTGCATCAGGACCATTTTTAGAACCAGAAGAGACCCTACAGATCACCTGTCAACCCCCTTCATTTACAAATGAGGAAACTGAGGCAGAAAGGTTAAATGACTGTTCACTACGGGTCCCTCCTGACTTTTAGCTTCCTTTCATGTGTTGATTTATCTCATTATAACCTCAAGGGCAGGGACTGTCTTTTTTACTTCTATTTGTATCACTAATGCTTGTTGACTTGAAAAATGGAAGATTTTAATTTAGATTTGAATCTAAGTAGCTAGATTCAAACCTAGGACAGCAGACCCCACATCTTGTGCCCTTTCTACTATCTCATCTATTCTATACATTATCTATTCTATCTCTCTACTCTGGAACCTGGAGGATTGACCCAAATTTCAGAGATAGCTCTCATCACTTTGATGGCATCTTTTCAGTCAGAGTTTTGACCAGCCTCTGCTTGGCCTCAGCATTTGGCTAAACACATACATGGTCAGTGACTGACATAGGCAAAGGGACAAAAAAATAGTGAGGTTTCTTTTGGGCAGCTGTCTGCCATTACATCTTTTTTCCTAACAGAAACAATCCAGGGGTTCCAGGAAAAAATCTGAGAAAAGCTGGTAGAGTGGAAAGAGGCCCCGACTTGGTGTCAGGAGACCTTGATCCTACTTCTAGATCAGCCACTAATTGCCCTTGCAATGTTGGCCAAATAGTTTTCCTGCTCTGAGCCTTGGCTTGACTACATTTAAAATGAGGGGGTTGAACTGGATGATTAGTAAGATCTCTTTTTTCAGTAGTTCTATGGGGTATAGATGGCCCACTCTAGCTGGCACGGCAACCTTAGGCAAAACACTTAACCTCTCAGGGCCTCAGTTTCCTCCTCTGTAAAATGACTAAGTCAGATCAGATGTTCTCTAAGACCCCTTCCCACCCTAACATTTGGTGAGTCTGATCCCAGTACCTAGGATTCCTGGGACGGGGAAAGAAAAGTGTTGTAGTTTTGTCTATCTGTTTTCTGTAGGGGAGCGGGGGAAACGTAGGGCAAGTTCAGAGGAGGCAGACCTGTATTCAGGCCTGGCAGGCTTCCAACCTTACAGCTACAGTTGAAGAAGACAGAGGAGCCATACATGTGATTCTTTGCCTGCAACTCAGGAACAGGCCTCCAGCTGCTGCAGCTGCAGCAGACCCTCATTCTCCACAAGAGAACAGAGAAATAGCCTTTATTAGTCTGCTCACTTCTAGATAAAGTAACTAAAATAGGTTAACCTTCTGGTCTGACCTTATAAGTAAGTACGCTGTGGTTTCAGGGAAAACACTCTATCCCCCCATCTTACCTCACCCCATTCATGACTTTATAATGGCCATCCTGCATTCCAGAGGGGGCTGAATTGTATGATCTCAGCCTCTTAGTTTTGCTGGCTTCCTAAAAGGTTCAACTCAAAGTCTATCTTCTGTAGGAGATCTTTCCCAGTACTCCCAGACGCTAACATCACCTCCCTTCCATTTTATCTTCTATTTTCTCTGTATCTAGCATATATCTATATCTATGTATCCTATTTAATCTATCTCTGTCTGCCTTTGTATCCCCACTGCTTAACACAGTGTTTTTTGTTGTTGGTTTTCAGTAGATTCAGTCACATCCAACTCTTCATGACCCCATTTGGGGTTTCCTTGGCAAAGACACTGGAGTAGTTTGCCACATCCTTCTCCAGTTCATTTTACAGTTGAGGAAACTGAGGCAGTTTGCCCAAGTGACTTGCCCAAGGTCACACAGCCCAAGAGTCTGGGGACAGATTTGAACTCAGGGAGGTGAATCATCTTCCTCATTCTAGGCTGTTTGGCATATAGTAAAAGTGATTAATAAATGCTTGTTGATTAATAATAGATTGTTCCTTCCTTTTTTTTTTTAGGCAGTTGGGGTTAAGTGACTTGCCCAGGGTCACACAGCTAGTAGTGTCATATTTGGTCTAAAGCAGGATTTGAACTCAGATCCTTCTGACTTCAGGGCCGGTGCTCTATCCACTGTGCCACCTAGCTGCCCCCTAGATTGTTCCTTTCTGTCCTAAGAAATAACAACAAAAAACTCCCTCCCCATTTCAAGTCTAAAATCTCTAAGAAGAAAAAAAGCTTTTCATTCCAAAAATAGGGTGGAAGCTTTAAAATGCAATTAGAGGAAACCTGTATTCAGGTCTGGGTATGAACATTTTCTGCTAGCTGAGTGACTCTGAGTCATTCATTTCACAGAATTTCAGAACCTTAAGAGTTTGAAGGAACTTTAGAAGGCATCTAATCCAACCTGTCTCCAATGAGAGGGTTGGATTGTATGAGCTCCAAGTTTCCTTCTAGCTGTAATTGCTTTGATCCTATGAGATGTTGGCTGAATATACCAAACATTGACACTGATCCTGAGTGAAAACAGGGTTGGGTACTACTCTGGAAAAAGATGGGTTGGGTTCTGTACCCATGCTGAAACTACCTTCTCATTGGCATCAACTGTCTTCTCCCCAGTGTACATCATGTCTAGGAAGTTAGAGAAGGGGGTAAGTGCCTGCCTAGCACTGGTCATTACATATTTGTTGAACTGAACAAAATCTTAATAGCACAGTCAAGAAATCACTAGCAGTTCTATCCACAAGCTGCAAGATTTTGAACATTGATTTGCTTTTTTTATCTGGGCATCCATGCAAAACAACATTACACATCTTCTGACTCCTACTCTAATACAGTTAACATTAAATATTTTCTACTAAAGGAGACAAGTATAGAGGATAGTAGGTATGGCTTGGAAGTCAGGATGACTTACATCAAAATCCTGTCTCTAATATTTAATGGGTGTGTGGGTCACCAGGACACTTAATGTTCTAATGACGTAGGCAACTCTGTAACACAAAGTGACCAACCACATACATAGCTGGTAGGATCTTCCACACTCAACTCAACACTACCGTATACCAGTGAAGGTAAAAAAAAAAAAATGGGGGCCAGGAACCTCCTACTTATAAGGTCATCAAAGTGGTTTGGGGATGAAATGATGCATTTTCCTTCTCAACTTGATCACAGATTCATAGAATGTTCAAGTTGTTCATAGAGCATCACCTACTGTCCAGACTCTAAGCCAAAGAAATTTCACAAACGAGAAAACTGATTCCCAGAAAAGGAAAACAGGTTCATGGGATGACAGCTCTAGAGCTGTAAAGGACCTCAGAGGCTACTGGGGTCGGGAACCTTCACCTCGAGGCCACATGTGGCCTTCTAAGGTCCTTGGGTCCTCAGCCTTTTCACTGAGTCCAAGCTTTACAGAACAAACCCTTTTACTAAGGGGACTTGTTCTATGAAGTTTGGATTCAGTCAAAGGGCTGCACTTGAGGACCTAGAAGGTCACAAATTGGCCTGGAGGCCACAGGTTCCCCACCCTGGTTGCTAATCCAGTCCCCTCACTTTATAGATGAAGAAACTGAGGCCAGGGAGGTTATGGGATTTACCTAAGGTCATAGAAGTAGGAGCCTAATGTCACACAGTGAGTTTAGTGACAGAGCTAGTGTTAGAACTCAGGCTAGAACTAACTTGGAAAGAGCAAATCTGACATTGACAAAGAATTTTTTTTTTTGAAAATTGTTCACTTCAGGTGCCCCGAAGCCTTGCTGGTTCCTCTGGCTCCCTGAGCTCTCCTTCCTCACTGCTCCTCCAGTCATTTATTCAGAATTCCCTTCCTCACTTTCATATTCTATTGTATGTTAAAGACATGTCTCCTCACCTGGGCTCTTGTAGCACAGTGGTGAGGTCCGCGGGGGCAGGAAATGTGGTGCTCTTGTAATCCCCCACAGTTCCTTCAGTATCTCATATATAGGAAATGAGTGAGGGAATGGAGGAATGAACATGAAAAAGTCCATTCTATGGAATCTGACTAACCCTAATTCCCTTTCTTTTGGCTTTCTCAGACTTAAATTGTCGTGGATGTGGATATCCCCTTCCCTTTCCCCAAAGGAAAGCCCAAATCTCTCCCTCCAACTGTGCCCACAGGGTTTTCATCATGGGCCACTTCTCACCTGCTCTCCAGCCCCATCCTCGTCTGACCCCGGCCAGGGGAGGCACGGGCAACACTTCAGCTTCCTCTTCGGTTTTAGGTTCCTCTGAGCCATGACACAGGGAAAGGGGAGTGGGCGCCCAGCTGGGCTTCCCTGACAATAGAACAAGACCCAGATACTACTTAACAGCCGCCCCAGGAGGTGCCCCTCACCTCCAGCCCAGCTCGTTCCCCGCCTCCTACTGGCCCTGCCCCACAGTCACCCGGTCGTCAGTCCTTGTGACCCGGGGCCCCCAATGTCGGGCAGTGTGACCAGTGCCTGGGGCCCCCATTGTCGGGCTGTGACCCGGGGCCCCCTCCGTCAGGCAGTGTTACCAGTGTGACCCAGGGCCCCCAATGTCGGGCAGTATGACCAAGGACCCCCAAATGGTTTGACGCGTGACCCGGGGCGCCCTCCGGCAGGTTGTGTGACCAGTGTGACCCGGGGCCCTCCAGGTCTGGCGTGTGACCCGGGGCTCCTTGCCTTTGCCCCCCACCCCCGGGCTCCAAGCACTGCATTTCACCTCGGGGGGCGCTGAGAGGGTGTCAATGGGGCTGGCCTGCGGCCTTGCCCGGCCCAGCAGGAGCCCGGAGGTGAGGTGCCGCTGGCCCGAGGCTCCCCTCCCTGCGCTGCCGCGGCTCGGCTCCTTCACCTTTCGAGAGCAGGCGGGACCATAAAGCCCCAAAAGCCAGCGAAGGGGACTGGACGGGCTGGCGCGCAGGCCAGCAGGGAGCCCCACGGAGGCAGCGGGGCGCGCGGGGGCCCCGGCGACTTTTGAAAGGCGCTGGGGCCGCGGCTGGGGGTGCGTGGACACCGGTTCGGCCACCAGCGGTGCGGGTGGCGAATCTTTAGCTTAGAAAACCAAACCAAACCGCTACAAACTGCTCCCTTTACTGTTTACCTCATGGGGGAAGGGGAGGTGGGGGTGCGGCACTCGACCCCCAAGGGGCAAGGCCAAGAGCTTCACCAGAGCTGGAGTAGCAGCTGAGACTTTAGCAAAACACATTCCCTTCACACGTAGTGTTTTTATCTCCGATTTACAGATGAGGCAACTGAGCCTCAGAGAAGCTAAGTGACCTGCCCACAGTCACACATCCAGGAAGTGTCACCGGCCAAGGCAGCTCATACAGGGCGCCCACTGGCTAAGATCACTCCACAGAATCTCAACGTTGGAAGGACCCTCAGAGAGAGGAAGTAGTCCAACTCGCTCCACGAAGGAATCCACAAGTAAGAACATCCAAGCTGAAAAGAAGGAAACTGAAACAAACAGAGACAAAGCGATTTGCCCAGTCACAAAGCTAACAACTGTTTGAGGCTGAATTTGAAGTCAAGTCTTCCTGACTCCAGGCCCAGGGCTCCATCCACTGGGCCATCATGAAGAAAAATCCTGTCTTCAGGGGATGTTGTTTTGAATGTGTGTTCATGACAGCACTTAGCACATTCTACATCCTTAGGGACAAGTGTAGAAAAGAACATTTTAAGACTAATTTACAACCCTTTAAACTGGGAGTTCTATACTTCAATAGCGTGGTTGGTGCCTGAACACTGGAGGCAAAAAGGACTGATTTAGACCACAGCAATATAAATTAAAATAAAGCTGAAACTCTCAGGAATTGACAATCCAATAATGGTTTCCTATGTGGCCACTATTTCAGATGTTTTTGCTTAACTTTTTTTTTCTTTGTTACAGGGAAAGAGTCAATTTCAGGGCAAATGGTAAAGAGGAGGAAGAAGGGAAAGGAAATATTTTTAGAAATGAATGTGATATAAAAACAAAAAGCATCAGTGAAACTTTTTTTCCCCTAAGGGTTGAAGTGCATGTGAACTTTAATATAAGGGCTAAGCAAGTGTGCCCAAGATTCCCCCTATGCAGCTTGTTGTGGCAGGTTAGGCCCATTGAGGCTTAGAAAATCAAAGGTGCAAGTTTATACCTTGAAGCTTAGGATCTCACCAGATTTCAGGACTCATATCTTCTGGAGTCAGAGAATAAGGGGGCTGGGAAATAATAACAACACCTTAGATTGGTGTGATACCCTCCTTCTTGAGAACTCAACCCATTTTCTCAGATATTATCTAGTTGTATCCTCATGAACTCCCTGTGAAAAAGAAATATTATAATTATCCTGCATTTATGTAGGCAAGTAGACAAAAGGTTAAGTAGCTTTCCCACAAGTGGTTCCAGTGCCCGTGCCAGGAACAGAATTCGAATTTGCTGCCCAATGCTCTTTCTACTATACCACAAACCGAGACTATGAGGCAGGATGACCAAACCTACAGATACTTCATCAATTGCCTGTTTTGCAACTCAGTGTTGCCATCAGAAGCACAGAAAAAAATTATAATTCAAATTAATCACTAAACATTAAGTACCTGCTCTGTGCTAGGCACTGTACTAAGTGCTAGGGATACAAATACAAAGAAAAGTAAGAGAGTTTCTGCCCTCAAGGAGCTTACAATCTAAAGGAGAAAGTCAACACACAAAAGGAAGCTGAAATGTTGGTAGGGTGGGCAGAAAAGGTACATGGTAAAGGAGAAAGGGCATGGTGAAGAAATCAGAGTCCCAAAGAGGTGCCGCCAGGTGAGAGACGAGGAGGAACATATCAGAGGACCAAAACAGCTGGGACAACTCCATAAGGCATGATTTACAGATTGGACTGGAGAAGGGGAGGAACAGGAGGAAATAACCTTCAAATGAGCTGGAGAGGAGGCAGCTAGGTGGTGCAGTGGATAGAGCTCTGGCCTTGGAGTCAGGAGGACCTGAGTTCAAATTCAGCTTCAGACACTTGACACTTACTAGCTGTGTGACCCTGGGCAAGTCACTTAACCCTGATTGCCCCACCAAAAAAGCAAAAAACAAAAATGAGCTGGAGAAAGAAATGGAAAACGACTCCAAGTATCTCTGTCAAGAAAACCCCAAATGGGGTCACTGAGTTGGACACAACTGAAAAATGCCTGAACAAACAAATAGGGAACATGTGTGACTGAAGCATTGCCCACCTCTGATGTGGCCACAATGTCCTTTCTCTCCCTGTGGAGTCCTCTTCCTGCTCCCTACTGCTGAGGCATCTCTGATGCACAAGCTGCTCCACAAAGCTCCCAGGATCTGTCCCTTCCCACAGCTCAACTTTCAGTTGCTACATCTCGTTCTCCCCTGAATCCATTGTAGTTTCTCTTCTCTGCTGCCAGGGATTATGCTTCTTAATGCTGCTTCCTGCCTCAATTGCCTGTCACCCCATGTCTCCCTCTGAGTGGAGAATGTGTGTCCCTGATCCCAGCTGGAAGTCTCAACTGTGCCTTGAATTCTCTCCAAATGAAATGACTCTTGAACTGACCCCATTTCCATTTAACTACTTCACATTCAGTAGCTTTTAAAAATGAGAATAGCTCCCATTTATATAGTGCTTTATGTTTTGCAGAGTGCTTTACAAATACTATCTCATTTCACTCTCACAACGACCCTGGAAATTAGGTGATATTATTATCCTCGTTTTACAGATGAGCAAACAGTGACTTGCCCAGGGTCATTCAGCTAAGTTATTTGGCCTTCATTTTTTAAAATTTAAATTATTTATGTATTTATCCTCAGTTACATGTAAAAACAATTTTTAACATTCATTTATAAAACTCTCTCCATTGCTCTCTCCCCATCCCCCACCCTCCCACTGAGAAGACAAGCAGCTCAATATAGGTTATATATGTGTAGTCATGCAAAACATATCCATAATTGTCATGTTGTGAAAGAAAACATAGACCAAAAAAACTCAAGAAAAATAAAGTTTTTTTTTAAAAAGTATGCTTCAATCTGTATTCAGACACCACCAGTTCTTTCTCTGGGGATGGATAGTATTTTTCATCATAAGACCTTCAGAGTTGTCTTGGATCGTTGTGTTGCTAAGAATAGCTAAGTCATTCACAGCTGATTATCCTACAATATCGCCGTTACTTTGTACACAGTACATTTCACTTTGCATCAGCCCATGCAAGTCTTTCCAGTTTTTCTGAGAGCATCTTGCTCACCATTTCTTATACTACAATAGTATTCCATCATAATACCATACCACCACTTGTTCAGCCATTCTCCAATTGATGGGCATCCCCCCAATTTCTAATTCTTTGCCCCCAGAAATGAGCTTCTATAAATATGTTTGTACATATAAGTCCTTTTCCTTTTTGTTTTTTATCTCTTTTGGAATACAGATCTAGTAGTGGTATTGCTAAGTTAAAAGGTAGGCAGGTTTTATAGCCCTTTGGTCATAGTTCCATTGCTCTACAGAATGGTTGAATCAGTTCACAACTCCACCAAGAGTGCATTAATGTCTCATTTCTCCCACATTCTTTCCAACATATATCATTTACCTTTTCTGTCCTGTTAGCCAATCTAATAGGCATGAGGTAGTACCTTAGAATTGTTTTAATTTTCATTTCTCCAATCAATGGTGAGAATTTTTTCACATGGCTATAGCTATATCACCTGAAAACTGATCATATCTTTTGATCTTTTGTCCTTCATTTTTGAAGTGGACCAATGACATCACAGGATGATGTCTTGACTCGTGTGTGAATTGGATTTAAGTGAGGCAGAGTTGCACAAAGTTGTCATCCTACTCTCTCTTCAAGAGTCATCAAAGTCCAGAGGTAAGACAAAAGTCAAGATGCCTGGTGATGGCCCGGGATGCATTGGATGACTTTTGTCTTCTTTGATAACTGACCAAGCTCTAAAAGCTCCACAGTACCTGTTTCAGCGGCCTTCATGGTTATTGGAACAAATTGTTCTCATCCACCCATTGAGGGGTAGGGGGGAGTCTTCGTATGCTTGGGGTTTACATCCCTTTAGCTTAGCTACGGATTTGAGGCCTGTTGATGACCCTCAACTTGGTTTAGCCCATCTACTGAGATGGTTTTATTGGGGTGTGGCCACTGCACAAGCTAAAGAGCTTCACGTGCTTGGAGCCACAGGTGAGAGTTAGCTGCCAGGTAAACACCAAAGATGGATGAGCAGCCCTGAAAATGGCCAGGCAAGCCCTCATACCAGAGGTGCTCATCCTCCTTGAACACCCCATATCCCCCATACCATTTAACTAGTAAGTGTCCAAGGTTGGATTTGAACTCAGGTCTTCCTGACTACCAGTCCAGCACTCTATCTACCGTGCCATCTAGCTGCCTCTTATTTCAAAAACACTTTTGCCAATACCTCTGGGATATACTCTCCCCTATATCACCTGGATGGGAGGAACAGAACAGACTCAAAACCTAGCTCAGGTGCTACATAGCACTAGTCCCACCCAGTTCACATCCAGATACAGCATGACTGTTAGGTGGGTCCTTCCATTGGGCTGGGATCACAAAAGTCACTCCCTGAGATCATTCCTTGGTCCCTGGGATGTTGCTGCTGTTGTTACTCAGTTGTGTCTGACTCTTCATGACCCCCATTATGGGGTTTTCTTGGCAAAGATACTGGAGTGGTTTGCCATTTCCTTTTCCAGTAGATTCAGACACATAGTGGTAAGTGACTCACCAAGGGTCACATAGCTAGTAAATGTCTGAGGTCACATCTGAACTCAGGTCTTCCTGACTCTAGCATCAGCACTCTAGCCACTGAACCCCCTAGATGCTATACTGGCTGCAAAACCTGGCCTATATTCTTACTCCTGGATTCCTACAGCTTAAACTCCCAACCTTTGAAACTTTCAAAGCTGAAGAATCTACTCTCTTCAACTAGGCTGTAAAAGAACAAACAAATAAACTAAAGACCAAGACCCATTTCTCAGAAGACACATGACCTCGGAAGGGAAGAAGGCCCCAAGGCCTAACATTGTAATAGAATATTCTTTCACCAAGCACCTTGAGAAGAGTAACTGAGTACAGTTAAGAGATGGCTGACGCTGACTTGGGCCTTTTTGAAGGCACCAACAGTTCTAGCCATACAGCAATTGAGAGAGTCCTCCAAACCATGTGGTTAGCCAACTGGAAGTAGTTTCAGCATGTTCAGACGCACCCTACAACCTCTCCAAGGCCATCTAAAATGTTGCTATTTTATAAAGTCAGCAGATTAATAGAGTGCTAGATTGAAAAAGACAGCAGACCTCTGAAGTCTCTTCTAACTCTAAATCTCCGATGCTATCATAGTTGAAAAAAGTCTGATGACAATAATATATGAAGAATTAACACGATCATATAAAACTACAATAATAGGCAAGTGGTAAAAGGATATGTACAGTTTTCAAAAGAATATATACTATCAACAACCATATGAAAGATTGTTCCAGATCTCTTGTTATAAGAAAGATACACATTAAGACAACTCTGACACTTGACTTCACACCTAGCAAATTAGCAAAGATGACAAAAGATGGAAATGCTCAATGTTAGAAGGGCTATGGGAATAAAGGCATATTAATGTACTCATGGTAGAAGTGTGAATTAGTCCAAGCAATCTGGAAAACAATTTCAAATTTATGTAAGAAAAAATCACAGCTATTCAGAACTTTTGATTCAGTTATGCTGCTGCTGTGAGATGAACCCTAAGAAAGTCAAGTAGAGAAAGAAAAGTTCTATTTATACTAAAATAATAGCAGCACTTTCTGCAATAACAGAAAAAAATCTAAAAATTAAGTTAGGGGAATGGCTGAGCAAACTCTGGTGTTAGCGTAGTAGAATATTATATCATAAAAATGACAAATATGAGGAGTTCAGAAAAATGGAAAGACCCATATGAACTGAGGCAGAGCAAAGTAAGCAGAGCCTAGAAAATAATACATATAACAACTTCAACAATGTAAATGAAAAGAACACTAAAAGGAAGGCAAAAGCTGTGTAACTTTAATGACCAGTTTTGACTACGGAGAAGAGATGAATAGATGCAATGACCTACTTTCTCTGGAAAGGTGGGGCTTATGAGGACGAAAGGTGGCAGACATTTTCATGCACTGACTTGGTTGATTGGTTTTGCTTAGCTGTCTTTCTTTGTTACAAGAGGAGTTTCACCATGGGGATGAGGAGAGGAGTGGGAAAGATAATACATTAAGAAATGAGCGTGTTGTAAAAAATAAAATAATCAATAACATAAAAAATAAAATAATATGAAAGGATTGGACTAGACGACCTCAAAGGGGCCTTCCTCATCCTGAGCCTCAGTTTCCTCATCTACAAAATGAGGCAATTGATTTTTAATGTCCCTTCTAATCACAACATGTCATGATTCTGTGCACTGACCTTCTCTGATGCCACACATCAAGCTAGTAGTAGAACAGTGACCCTGATTTGATTTGATTTAATTTCCTAGGAAGTAAATGAAATCAATAAATATTGAGCATCTGTTAGAGACAAGGTACAGTACTTGGAACTAAGTTCCATCTGGAATAGGGATCAGGGGATGGTCTCTCAGGGCATGTATCATTGACAGTGCCATCAATTTATCTCTTAGCACTTGATGGGAATAAACTGGAGGACGATGAAGATAACTCAGGAAAGCTTATTAAGTAGGGCACTGTTCCTACGGGAAGGAATGGCCAATATCATTTTAAAGATGTTAGGAAGACACCCCAAAGCTGGGGCAGGGCATTGATCACCCTACTTGAGAAGAAACTTAGTGAAAGTAGCCTATTCAGATTTAAAAGGGTAGAATAGGATGAATGAAGTTGCCCACATAAAGGCACATGGAAATGGGCCCTCCGCCCTCTGGGTGCTGCCAGCACATAGATTTAGGGGCAACCAAGCTTTAATAGAAATCTGATTTTAAAAAAAAGCAGCCTCAAGACTGGAAACCTGCTCTGGCATTTTGGTGGAAAAACAGAGACTCTATAATCAGAGGTGCAGCAAGCATATTGGTTCAGGTTATATTCCTCACGTGGCAGGATCTAAGCCAAGGGAGATGACACCACTCTATTTATTGGGCAAAGGATAGAAGGGAAGAAAAGGTGGCATCACACACACACACACACACACACACACACACACACACACACACACACACACACACACACTGCTCTTGGGACTCCTAAACTCAGAAATACCCATTGGAAGCATCTGAGCAACCAGGAGGTCACCAGGTATAATCCAGGATCAAATGTCCAAGTGGAGGAGAACCGAGAGAGACTGTTGATTCAGGCTTTTTATATAGTTTAAAAAATGAGTTGGCAAAAAATAAAAATAAATCACAAATGTCATATACAGCATTGAGGAATAGCATATCACATTGCAATCAATTGTGGGGAAGCATTGAGGCATGGCCACTCACGCCATAAGAATTAGGAACTATCTAGTTAAGTGTGGGGGAGGTGATGGGGTGGAGAGTAAGGGTTAGGGAGTAAGGGCATTGAATTGTTGTAACATAGAAAGAAACAATTCCAGGAATATAAAATACAGTAGGGACTTTGGCTAAGATGGCAATTGGAAAGGACATCAAGAAGCCAAGCTCTCCTAGAAACATCCCAATAAATACCTGAAAATACTAAGTAGAAAAATTATAAACAAAAACAAATAGAAACACAAATAAGCCCTTCCACCCACTTAGAACTCCACAAAAAGACAACCAGAAGCTGGTAGGGGCTTGGAAAAGGATCATGCCAGGAAAGCAAGCATGAGCTTCAGCAAGTGGACCGTGGGAATTGGGAGAGGGTTCATGCCAGGGAAGCAGAGCATGGGTCTGAAGCCAGAAGACACACTGAAGGAAGGTTGTGTGAGAGGCTAGGGGAAAGATTGTAAACCAATACAAGCTCCAGTAGTCATGACCTAAAGCCACATACCAGCCCTGGCCTCTCAGAACATCAGCAGAGGATAGAGCCAGCTCCCACAAGTCACTGGTCACTGCACAGAACAGGGTTGACCTGTGCACTTCTCAGATTACTAAGCACCACAGGAAGGGTGTGATAATTATAAACCTTATATTGTTTGATCTTAGAGTTATAATGATAGGACTCTAGTATGGAGTTACTAAGGTTTAGTAGGCCCATAAAGCATATAGGTAAAGACAGATAAGGGGTATACTTTTCCACTGTTCTGACCTATGTTAACCTTGTGTCAGGCAGTTAATGTTACAGCTTCCAATTGAATAAAAGTCCTAACAAAGAAACTCTCCCTGCCCAAGCCTCACCCAAGTCTGGTATCAGTAGGCAGCCCTGAGAACCTCTCCACCACATCTGGATCTGATTAGGAATGCCCCCTCCTATACCTGGCACTGATTACCCATTCTCAGCCAAGCCTACTTTTAGTATACATACTTTTTTGACCTGAAGCCCAACTTTAAGCATGTTCTTTCCCCACCTGTATCCCTCCCCCATCACTGGGTGAGTTTCTTACATCTGTGGGGATGAACTTCTGTCTCTATATCACCATATGGCCTGTGTATATTTTTGCGGGCTCGCTGTGCCACGTAACAAAAAAGCTCTTGTTTGTATCAGCTTCCCAAGTATCATTTTTCCTGCAAATTCCCAAACTCAGGTCTTTCCTGTGACCCGAGGGGCCAGAAAGGTAACCTCGTTGATGTTCCTGATCCAGGGTTCAAGACGCATAACACTACCAAGAAGCACAGGGCCAACTTAGCACCTGGTAACCTACATTGGGTGCCTTGTAGGAGGCCTGAAACCAGCATAATCTCCAACAGCCTACTGAGACCTGTCAGGACCACAACTGGGGAAGGAAGCAATAACCAATGGAGGGCTGTGCAAGGAAAAGGAGACAGAGAATGGTTGAGTCCAGAACCTACACCAGGAGATGGAGATAGAATCTAGGGACTGAGGCTAAGGGTGGAAGCC